GAGTTCAAATTCTTGAAGATTTTCAAATCCATAAGTTACATCAAGGTTTTCATATTCTAACAAATCATCTCTTTGGTCAAGGGAAAACCTTTTATGTTGATTCATATAAAACTCGAGAATATTATCAAGCTATTTTGCAAGAATCTGGTTCGGTCAATTTTGTTCATCGTTCTAATTCAAAAGAGGGAAACATTGATTTTAGCAAAGCTCATATCATCAAAATCATTTCTCTAGAAAGTTGGGTTCCAAACTTTCACTCTGAAAAACCTCTTATAAGTTATCCTGCTTATCCCAGATTTTCTTACTATGATTATCAAGATGCCTGGACTAAGGCGTTCTTTATTCGGAATTATTCACACTCATGGTTTATCTTCTTTGATTTGAACTTCAATTGTGAATATCCAAGATGGTTTATCAATTAGTACAAATATATGAGAATTCTTCCAAATTGTTTACCAAAAGAAATTTACGATGGATATCTCAAATTTAAGGAATTGTTTATTCAACAAGTTCCAGAATTTGAATATATGCTACAATTCACTATGATATTCAAAGTTCCATGGATAATGTCTTGGACTTTTCATTATCAAGAAGCAAAGGATTCCTCTCCTCCCTGGCTTAATCGCCCTTTTGATGATCCTTATGAAGAATAGGAAATTCTTATCTTTAAATTTGTTGTAATACCTTCAATGTAGGGTATTTCGTTTCTTCTATTTATCAAAATTATTATTTTCAAATACGAGTGTGTATAAACTGTGTGAGTATACACTATATATGTATTTATAGTGTATAAACAAATATTATCAAATTTATTATCAAAATTATTTATTCTTATCATCAATGATAATATGAAGACAATAAACTTTAGAAGATGCTCTATGATGACATGCTTTATCAAAATGTGATATTTATTGATTACAAACGACAATTTCTTCAAAAGATGAGTGACAACCACTTACAAGTAATTGATTGGCCATTGAATCATACGACAAATTTCACTACAAGATTTCAAGGCTTTGAAGACTTCAAGATCAATATAAATAGACATCATATTTCAGTAGAAGGGAGCAAGAAAAATATTCATTCTCTAAAAAATGTTCATCCCATGTCTAAAAAATCTCCAAGAGTCATTCTTTCTACTAGTAGATGTTCAAAGTCTCTAGATTTTCAGATAATTCTTTCTCCAGATGTATGTATTGACTGTAATTCAAGCTTAATTCAAGAAGGTACTATCTAAAATACTTTATTCAATTGTTGTATTGTTGTTATTAAATTTATTTCTCCATGATAGTTTCATTTCGAGTTATTCTAACTATTAATTCTACAAGATTTGAAATTTTTGTTAAAATAGTACTCGTTTTTAATAATCAAATTAATCAAATTCATGCTTGAATTATTTAATTACGTCTAACAAAATCTTGATGAATTGTATTCCTAATAGAGATATTCTTTTAAGAATAAAACAAATCCAAGAATCTATAAATAATTCTGAGCAAAATCTCAAGGATTCTTACAAACCTACTAATCTAGGTACGATTTTAAACAATAATCATATTCATGATGCTAGATGGCTCATAAGAGCTAGTATTAAAATTCGTTACAAACAAATACGTTATCTAAAAACAAAACTATTTGTTTTCTAAAAATGATATTTATGTCATAAAACTATTTGTTTTCTAAAAATGATATTTATGTCATAGTTAATATGAATAAAACTATTTGTTTTCTAAAATGATATTTATGTCATAGTTAATATGGTATTTATGTCATAGTTAATATGGTATCAGAGCCAAGAAAAGTTTGAATAATTGGACAATACCTAAAACTAATGTTAATAAAATATATAGAATAGGAACTTTTGACTATTTTCAAGGTTATTCTATTAAAATGACAGAACAAACTTTGTCTATTGGTCAAAACCAACAAAATTTACATTTGTTATCATCACGATCTATTCTAGGGCATAGAATGAAATATAAATTTTTACATGTCGGTTTAGTCCAAATTGCTATCAAGCCTCTATTTAGACTTGGAATAGATGCTCCTGTTCTCCTTATTTTAAGAGACAAGAGACATAAAGATTTTCAAAATTCTATTTTAGCTATGGCTGAAACAAATATTGCTAACGGACCTATTTATTTCAATTGTTATCCAAATTTTTCTGTAGGATTATTTGATAAAAATATTTTAGATACTTTAGTGTTAACTGTAGAAACATAAAATTTAGAATTTAAAGATGATACAAAGCCTTTAGCAATAATTTATCGTGTTTGTTATAAAACTATGACAACTACACTTGAACCGAAAACACGTTTATCAAGTCCTAAAAATGAAACAATTATTTTTGAAGCAAATACTAACCATACCAAAGTTCACACACCAAAAAGATTAAAATGGTCTGACATAACTCAATCATGTAATTGGAACTTACAAAATGTTATCATCCAAAACCACTAGACTCTTCAAAACAAATCTCAAATATTATAGAATATAAGACAAAATTACAAAAATGGTCCCTATGGTTTGCCAAAAGTCACAAAGTCAGTCCCTGCTAATTTTTTTTGATGCAAATGGTCCTTGTGGTTTGCAAAACTTGCAAAGATGGCCCTTTTTACTAACACCGTTAGTATTGAACCGTTAGGGACTGAATCTGTAAGGGCATTTTTGTCTTTTCAAGTATAAAGGGACTGAATTCGTAACATTTGATAAACCACAGGGACCATTTTTGAAATTTGTTTGAAAAAGTGAAATAATTAGCTTAAAGAAGGGGGCAAGGCTCGAACTCGAGACCTCCACCCCCTTATATCACTAGAGCCCTTACCAACTGAGCTGGAAGCTCATTTAATTATATCTTCCGGAAACTATTTTATATAATAACGAAAACGTTAATACCTAAATAATAAATAAATTACAAAAAACAATTTTTTTTATATAATTTTTTTTAAATAAAGCAAAATGTATTTTAGCCGTATTATAAAAAAAATAGTTTTTTACAAACAATTTGTATGTATTTTTATGTATTTATTTTACGTAAAATATATTTTTTTATGTCTCTAAAATATACGTTTTCGTATAAAAATATGGTTTCGTAAAAAAAAAAATTCATGTTTTTGAAATAATAATAATTAACACTACTCATGACATAAAAAAATGTATAAATTCTTTTGGGTCACTAGTTCTAAAACCGTTTTTTCGGTTATATGTATTAAAAACAACATAACAACGATTGTATTATGTATCTAAAAAATTTATACGGTTTTTTTTTTATGTCAAGAGTAAATTTAATTACCGTTATTTCAAAAAGATATATCTTATTTCTTTTCTTCTTCATTTTATCAATACGATTTTGAACTTGTGATTAAAATACGAAAGAAATAATGATATATCTTTTTGAAATAACGATAATTAATACTACTCTTGACATAAAAAAAACCGTATAAATTTTTTAGATACATAACAAAATCGTTGTTATGTTGTTTTTAATACATATAACCGAAAAAACGGTTTTAAACTAGCGACCCAAAAGAATTTATACATTTTTTTATGTCATGAGTAGTGTTAATTATTATTATTTCAAAGTCATTAAATTTTTTTTTACCAAACCATATTTTTATACGAAAACGTATTTTTTAGAGACATAAAAAAATATATTTTATGTAAAATAAATACATAAAAATACATACAAATTGTTTGTAAAAAACTATTTTTTTATAATACGGCTAAAATACATTTTGCTTTATTTAAAAAAGTTATATAAAAAAAATTGTTTTTTGTAATTTATTTATTATTTAGGTATTAACGTTTTCGTTATTATATAAAATAGTTTCCGGAAGATATAATTAAATGAGCTTCCAGCTCAATTGGTAAGGGCTCTAGTGATGTAAGGGGATGGAGGTCTCGAGTTCGAGCCTTGCCCCCTTCTTCTTTAAGCTAATTATTTCTTTTTTTTCAAACAAATTTCGAAAATGGTCCCTGTGGTTTATTAAATGTCACGAATTCAATCCCTTTATACTTGAAAAGACGAAAATGCCCTTACAGATTCAGTCCCTAACGGCTCAATACTAACGGTGTTAGTAAAAAGGGTCATCTTTGCAAGTTTTGCAAACCACAAGGACCATTTGCATCAAAAAAAATTAGCAGAGACTGACTTTGTGACTTTTGGCAAACCACAGGGACCATTTTTGTAATTTTGTCAGAATATAATGATGGTTCAGTAGATATAAATTTTTCTTCCTTAAATATTTCATCATCCAGATTATCAACTTCTTTTATCCCAGAAACAGGCTCTTCAAAATCTTCGTTATCAAAGTCAAGATCTTTAAAACTAAAAACTGTTGACTGTACTAATTCTATTCCCAAACCATTATATCAAGATGATCAAAATAGTGAAAATAGTCTTCCTAGTCCTACTAAATCAGATTTTATTGATGAACTTCAAAATTTTAAACAACAAATATGAGTTCTAAAGTACAAATTAATTGTTCAAAAAAATATAAGTTTTGGGCTAATATGTTAAAAAGACATTGGAAGATAAATGCTAATATATGCAAACCATTCAACATTTAGAAGAAACTAGAACTCATTAAGATTATAATTTATACAAAATACTTCCATATACTAATAAATATAATATATATATATATATATATATATATATATATATATATATATATATATAAAGTTTATTTATTCATGTAAAGTAAAAATAGACACAAAAAAAGCTAATATACAACATTACAACCTACAACCGTCCTTGTTTTACTTAGTTTTCTCCAAAGCCAAAGTTTGTTTTCATGTGACACTCTGAAATTATCACCATATCTCCCCTTTTTTTGACCATATTACATGACAACTATACTAGTATAGTATGTAACATTCATTTAACACGTCTTTATTAGTTCAAAAATCACACCTAGCCAGATTAATGCCCATGATCATATGATATGGTTTTCCTTGGTGAATTTTCGAGGCTAAATTTTTATGTTGTTTTTGCGGCATTAATGCTACAAGCAATGTTTGTGAATGCTGATGATATCTATCTAGAGTGGCAAGTAAATATTGACACCACCATCAAACCTGTTTCAATTGATCAACCGGTATTTATCACTGGTCTTTTTGTTTTTTGTTTCTTTTTTACAACCTTTTAAATGATGCTTTTATTTTTATTGTTTGAAAATATGATAGGTCATAACGATTAATGGGATGTTTCCTGGGCCTCTTATTAATGCGACTACCAACGACATTATACATGTTAATGTATTCAATAACATGGATGAACCTCTTTTGATCACCTGGTAATTATGTTTTCTCGCTCACTCAAACACAAGATAACATTTCTTTTTTATATATGTTTTTTTTCTGCATTTCCACATATGATATGATGATGATTTGAAAGTGAAATATTAGGTAGAATTACTTATAGCGTCATTATGTGAACATTGAAACTTATATCCAACACTAGAGTTAATCATCTAATTGACGAGTAACATTTACGTTTCTTATATTATTCTTAAGAATTAAGATCAATCTAATATTGGGAAAATAGCAACTTGAATAAAAAGATTTATCAAAAACTTATTTATACGGTCACAAATCTATTAACAACTTATATCATTCTCGTTAATTCCATTTCCATTATCTTTAACTATAGGGGTACGTATCTATATTTTTAGCATTCTCTAGTCTTAATAAAATTTTGCCGTTAAGGCAAAAGGTAAGAATAATTTGACAGGAAAATATATCAAATATTGATGATTATTATTATTTATGTTATCTAATTTGATTAATATGATTTCATCGTGTGTGTCTATATATATATATATATATATATATATATATATATATATATATAAAAGATCAAATAAGAAAAAAAAATTTCGTAGGAAGGTAATAAATTTTTTATATACATAATTTTTTAGAAAACAAACGAAATAAATCATTAGATGATTCACAAGAAAAAAATTAATAAAAAAACACGTTCATGATTCGTTTGTAAGTAAATAATTTTTTTTTCACTTTTATGACAATTTTAATGAATATCAACAAAATAATTGTAAAAATGAATCATCGAAATATTTTTTCGGGAATTTCTTTTTATGAATCATATTATTTTTGATTCATCTAGTGATTCATGTGTTTTGTTGCCAAAAGAATAGATCAATTCATAATAGAAACTGCTTTGAAACGGGTTTAAGAGAAAACCATATTAACTTGATCCGATAGGGTTGAATGGATATGAATAATTGAATATTACCGCTAAATAGGATTTGAGACCAGATAAAAAGCTGGGTTTTTAAAACCCGTTTACACATTTTTTTTTATTGAAACCGGTTAAAACCAATTGGGTCAAGAGACAGACAACAATAAAGCCTAAAAACCGATTCGGGCAGGTTACAAAACTAACTTTGTTGGCCTCATTTATGCCTAAGATACCTGGGCCCATGGCTTGTAAAGAAGGGTCTATTCACTGTTGACCTTTATTTGGGCCATATAGGGCTGTAAAGACATTGAGACAGCCTATCTAATAAAATGGGTCGTATTGAATTTTCAGGAATGGTATACAACAAAGGCTCAACTCATGGCAAGATGGAGTGTCTGGTACGAACTGTCCAATCCGACCCGGTTCTAGTTGGACTTATGTATTCACCGTAAAAGACCAAATTGGCACCTTTTCTTACTTCCCCTCCATCAACTTCCACAAGGCTGGTGGAGCTTTTGGCCCGATCAGAGTCAATCCACGGGTCGTAATCCCAACTCCATTTCCTAAACCACATGGCGAGTTTGATCTTCTTATTGGAGATTGGTACAATAACAGTTTTAAGGTACCATCACACAAACACTATTTTATCATGATCCTCACATTTTATTATACAACATTTTATTTTCCCTAAAATACAAAAAAAATTCAGTTTAAAATAACCATATTTTTTAATATCGTAATATATTAATCTTTGGAGCATATTCTTTCCACATTAAAAGGTGGTTTATGATATTTGTTTTTTTACATCATCTTTGTTTTGGTGTTTTTGGGTAAAACTTTTAGGATATCCGCTTGTCATTGAACAAATCGCTACTTCACCTACACCCGGACACAATGCTCATGAATGGAAATAGCCGTTACCCGCAAACAAATCGAACCATTGTTGTTGAGCAAGGTAAATGTGCAAAAAAGGCTAAATGATAATTATATTTGATTAACCAAATTTAGTTATCAAAAAATCGTTGTTGAATTCAACTGTATAATTTAGGGCACTTTTGTTGTCCGAAGAGGACTACACAGACATTTTATGACTATTTTCATGATAAGAATGGGAAAGACATTCATTAGTCTTTGTCTTCTTGTTCCGCCTCTCTACAACAAGTAGTTGTTAGGAACCGGACCGGGTACACGCAGCGGAAACACACTATCACACACACACAAACTCACGAAAATAAAGCAAGAAGAACACAAGGATTTTACGTGGTTCGGATTCGGTGTAAATCCTACGTCCACGGGCTGCAACTAGAGAATTTTATTAAAACTCACAAGATTACAATTGGCTTGACACTCTACATTTGATGTTCTCTCAAGTTTTTGCACACAAAATATGCAAAACATACATGCATATATATAGGTATATTTGTGAGCCGCAATATGCACAGGATTGCCGCAAAGATTGACTTTGAAAATTTTGCCATTCACATTAGCCGTCCAACAAATATTAAATAATTGTCCACCAACCATTTGAATATTTAATTCAAACGTTTGCCGACAACAATTGAATAATTCAATTGTTAAATGTAATGTTACATTTATGGCCCTTGAACTCTTAGGAACTTGTCAATTTGTTCAAGACTCCATAAATCTTAACAATCTCCCACTTGGAGGCTTGAACAACATGGTCCGTCTCTGTCATCCAACTCCAGTAATCTTAAAACAACCAAGTCCTTCAAGCTTCCAGTTCCAAAGAACAAGCTAAAACTTAGTCTGATTTCTCTAATTGCAGCCGCCCCTCATCTTCAAGTACTAGAAGGGCCAGTTGAAGCTCCCACTAGCTCCAACTCAGTCGTGGCTAATCCCACCACCGACTCATCCTCTGTCTCAACCGGTTTGGACACTCCACCAGATCCAGAGATACACCGAGGACCACTAACACTCTCCAAACTTTGCAAACTTCCAACAAGAGAGAATTTTCCAGTCTTAGTCTTCAAAACCCAACGGCTCTTTGTAAGTGTACCCGGAACACACCCCGTGCTCCCACTGTCACAGAATCCCCTGAATGGTTTAGAATTTCCGACTCGTTCAGCTAACATCCCCTTGGCTCCAGAATTCATGTTTGCAAAATGAACTCTCTTAGCAGTAGATTTAGCGAACCAGATTTTGTTTTGCTTAATCGGGATGGTCATACTTCCCTCAGCAGGTACCTCAACCATATACAATGACCCACACTTCATACCACGAGCAATCACCAGATCACCATTGACCACCCTCCATTTACCACCACCAAACCTTACTTCCAGTCCTTGTTTATCCAGCTGACCAACAGAAATCAATTTTTTCTTCAGCTCCGGAATAACCCTGACATTCTTCAGGCTCCATGTAGTTCCCAATGAAGTAACTAGATCAATATCTCCCATGCCCGTTACTTGAAGCATCTCGTCATTTGCTAACCGTACCTTTCCAAAATCTCCTTTTTTTAGATTCACCATCGTTTCCCCGTTGTCCATGGCGTGAAACGAAGCCCCTGAATCCATGACCCAAGAGTCTACAGAACTTTCCATACTGAGTATCAATGCATCATCCTCAGACACACTCTCAGCACCGGTAATGTTCAATTCTTTCTTTGGACATTGACTCTTAACATGTCCCACCTCCTGGCAGTTCCAGCACTTCACATTCTTCTTAGTTCTAGATGAACTTCTTCCCCGAATCCCACTGCTTCCACTATTCCTGCTATTCCCTCTACCTCTTCCGACATTTAATAAATCAGAAGAGGAAGATCCACCTTGATTCTTGCGTCTGATATCCTCGCCTAGAACCAAATCTCTAACCCCTTCAAAAGTCATACCACTGGTCCCCACGGAACTTGTAACAGCAGTAACTGTTCCGGACCAGCTATCAAGTAGAGAAGCTAGTAGCAGTGATGCTTGAGTCTCGTTATCAAATTTAATTCTCACAGATGATAATCTGGACAGAATTGAATTTAAATTATTAATGTGAACCGTAACTGAGCCTTCCTCATTCATCCTTGTAGTGAACAACTCCTTCATCAAGAACACCTTGTTAGCCGCCGATGGTTTCTCATACATATTTGACAGAGCCTCCATCATACCACGCGCCGTGGTTTCATTCATGATGTTGAAAGCAACGCTCTTCGTCAATGACAATGTAATAACCGCCTTGGCTTTCTTGTCCTTTGAGTTCCACGCATCTTCAAAAGCTTTTTCCATTTTCTCCGGTTTGTCTCCGAGTACCATGTCCAAGTCTTTCTGACATAGCAATGCTTCTAATTGCATTTTCCACCAGCTAAAATCAGAACCGTTGAACTTTTCGATTACAACCTTGTCTTCAGCCATTACGACAAACAAGATACAAATCAGGTACACTCGTGCGTGAAAAAAAAAATGATTGTACCCTCCAAACCTCGCTAATCTGGCTCTGATACCAGTTGTTAGGAACCGGACCGGGTACACGCAGCGGAAACACACTATCACACACACACAAACTCACGAAAATAAAGCAAGAAGAACACAAGGATTTTACGTGGTTCGGATTCGGTGCAAATCTTACGTCCACGGGCTGCAACTAGAGAATTTTATTAAAACTCACAAGATTACAATTGGCTTGACACTCTACATTTGATGTTCTCTCAAGTTTTTGCACACAAAATATGCAAAACATACATGCATATATATAGGTATATTTGTGAGCCGCAATATGCACAGGATTGCCGCAAAGATTGACTTTGAAAATTTTGCCATTCACATTAGCCGTCCAACAAATATTAAATAATTGTCCACCGACCATTTGAATATTTAATTCAAACGTTTTGCCGACAACAATTGAATAATTCAATTGTTAAATGTAATGTTACATTTATGGCCCTTGAACTCTTAGGAACTTGTCAATTTGTTCAAGACTCCATAAATCTTAACAGTAGTTGAACTAAATTATTTCATACTGTACTGTGCATGCCGAATATAGTATAAGACTGTCATGTTTTTTTTCTATCACACGATATGTTAAATATGGTTCAAACTAAGTGCTAGCTAGCCGGTTAGATTGGCACAAGTCTCTTAAAATATAACCTTGACTCGAACTTAATTTGCTTAATTATAGTTTTTTAAATACACAGGTGAAACATATCTCATAAGAATATCAAACGTTGGAACGGAACGGAGTATCAATTTCAGGATCCAAAACCATCCAATGCTACTAGTTGAGACAGAGGGGTCATATACAAGCCAAATAATATTAGATTCGCTTGATGTACATGTAGGCCAATCATACTCAGTTTTGGTAACAACAAACCAACCCAAAGCTGACTATTACATGGTGGCAAGCCCTAAAATGGTTAACACACCTGAATCTAGCCAACTAGTCGGTGTTGGGGTGCTACATTACGACGACTCCACCACACCAGTCCAAGGTCCATTACCTCGAGGACCTGATCCATTCGACCTTAACTTTTCAATCAATCAAGCAAAGTCAATCAGGTAATATTTAAATGATTAGAAAATTAATCAAGATTTTTAGATATATCCGGTTTTATACTCACTATAGGTAGTTGCATTTTAGGTGGAACTTGACGGCGGGGGCAGCAAGGCCAAACCCACAAGGAACATTCAACGTATCGAACGTCACATTATCCCAAACGTTTATTCTCCAAGGATCATTAGATGAAATCAATGGCAGTGCTCGTTACGCTGTTAACAATGTGTCATATCGTGTTCCTGATACTGCATTGAAACTAGCGGATTACTATAAGAATGGAACGGGAACTTACAAACTTGATGCGTACTCGGCTAATTCATCTAACCCTGTTGCTATTGATGCTACTTTCGTTGTTTCGGGGGTTCACAACGGATGGCTTGAAATTGTGTTCAAGAACGACATGCTAGTTATTGATACATGGCATTTGGATGGTTTCGGATTCTATGTTGTGGGGTAAGGTTATGGATTCAATTTATAAAAGATTATTAAATGTATGATAGCCATTATAATTAGTCTTTGAAATTAAATGATGCATATTTTAGGTTTGGTGCTGGAGATTGGACTCCTAACATGCGATCAACGTACAATCTTTATGATCCAGTAGTTCGATCAACTGTTCAGGTACGTAATTGCGCCGCACTAGAAAAAAGTGTTTGTTAATTTGGATATGATGTTTTGGGTTTCTATCGTTTTCGATCCCTTTCTCTTTTGAAAAACTCGAGAAAAGTGTGGATTCTAATGAAATTTAATTATGATCGATGGCTAGGTTTACCCGGGAGGATGGACGGCGGTTTATGCATACTTAGACAATCCCGGAATGTGGAACTTACGTTCACAGGTGTTGAAGCATTGGTACTTGGGTCAAGAGCTCTACATTCGGGTCTATGACCCTGATCCTAATCCTGCTAAAGAACGACAACCACCATCCAACATTCTCTTTTGTGGTTTGTTAATTCTTCTTTGTATTTTCATTTTGATTTTCTTCTAGACCTCGATCATCGATGATTCCCACCTGTTACTTTCGTGCTTAATTTTAGGATCTGTTATTCCTCCACCTGTGCCAACACCGACACCAGTGCCAGTTCCACCTGGTCCAAAGCCTTCCCCCGCCACCACGCTAACCATAAACTGGTGAGTAGGATCTTGTCTCACTTTATATGTTGGTTACACCTGTTATACTGGACTAGATATTTATATTTTTGTTGGTGGGGATGAGAATACGGTTAAGGGAGTCCATGTCCCACCTTTTTTGGATGGGACACAAGTGTTATCTTTGTCTAAATCCCAAATCCCAATATAATGCACAGCAAATACAATACAACATGTTTTGTTGTGTCTGACTACCTGGCCTTCAGTGTTTACAATTTCTTCTAACATGTACATATCACTTTTTTTAAATTGGCAATTGCTTCCAGGTTTTCTATTCTATTGATCTTTGTATTTGCACTCGTTTAAAAGCAATGGGCATTTGATCGAATGATGGAAAATTCACTGAGTGACTTCAATAAGGTTAACTGAAGATACGGTGTTTGAATTTTGATATTATTATTTTTGACAAAAAGTGTCTTGTATATTTGAGAAATTATTGCCATTCAATAGAAACTATGTTTAATTACTCAAGCTCACTAGAACTAAAAAAGTAGCCAAGTTAAAGATTGAAAAGTGTGAGGCTAAAGCTATTAATTATACATGGCAAATCCAAGCATAATCCTTAAAACCGGGGTTTAATTAAACTTTTGACAGATTAAACATGGTGGCTTGTGATGAGCTTTTTTTAAGATGTATGATTATCACACCATGACACTAAGAAATCACATGATTTGCACGTGCAGTTAAATCATAATACACATAATATGTTTCAAATTCTAAGATTAATACGGAGTTTCAGTTTTAAGATCTAAAATGGCTTTCTTTAACACCTTGTTTCGTTTAATATTTTTGTTTGAAAATAAATTTCCGTAAGTTAAAGACAAATTAATTACTCCGATCACAATGCCATGTCATGTAGAGTTGAAGGGGTAGTAATACACAAAAGGGTGGAGACTTTTCGCAACTATTGATATATTTTAATCAACATGTCATCTAAATATAACATTTAAAAACATATATATATATATATATATATATATATATATATATATATATATATATATTTTACGATTATAAGTTATTTAGATATATCTTTTTAACATCATTTCATTATTAAAGTGAAGTGATTTTAATTGCATATATAATTTTAAGATTAAATTCCCTTTTGACTTTTTGATTGATTAGGATGGTAATGACAATACCTTGCCAACCTCTCTTTCACACACTTCAACAATATGAAGAAAACCAATAGAGAGGAACAAGAAAAGAATGCCACTTTTCTCAAACCCAAAAGAAACGAATTCCAAATTTATCAGCAAATTTTGATAAAAAAATCCAAAGAATTTATATCCATAATTAAAAGAATTAGTAATTTGTGGGTATGATGAACAATTTCACATCTTACCTTCACAAGATCAATGGTGTAATCGATTAAATACAAAATGTAAAAAGAAAATTAAAAAAATATATATGATTTTTGCACCTTTGTGTTAGTAGTGACAATCCACCAATGTTGGGGCGGCAGATAAACGAACGGTGTGTTGTTTGTTCTGATCGGCCGTGAATTTGAAGCTCGAATCACGGCGTTGATCGTGATTTGCGGCAGCCATGGCTGTTTCCGGTGGTGCCGGAAGGTTGAGATCCAAATCCAAACACAAACCATCATTCCTTGACATTTGATAATCTTGATCTTCGGGCACCATGGTTGTAACCGGGCTGTAAGGAATCAAAGACAACGTGGTGTTGGTGGCAGTGACGGCGGTGGCGGTGCCATTAGTCACCCGGTGTCGCCTCATGTGGCCGCCCAATGCTTGTCCGGAATTAAATTCCGTGCCACAGATTGAACATTCGTGAAGCTTGGTGGACGATTTCTTGCTGTGTCCCGGCGATGAAACCCGGTGGTTTAATTGAATCGAAAGGGAAGAGGAAGAGGAAGAATTGTTCTTCCTCGATGGGAATTGCAGTAATGGTTCATCCTCATCGGATAATGCGGTGTAGGGTGACAGTTTTCTTTTATCTAATTCATTGATTCTTGGTTTTTTGTGGCTGGCTCTATGGCCTCCGAGAGCTTGAAACGATGGGAACGTCCGGCTACACGTCTTGCACTCGTAAACATACATTCCGGTGAATCCATGGGCGGCGTCCGTCGATGTTTGTATATATCTTTTGCTGTTAAACTTGTATCCGGATAATTCATCATTACTGTTCCTCGGAAACACGTTATGACCTTTGGAAAGGAGAATGAGGCACATGGCCGTATCTTCGTCTTCCGTGGTGGTGCTACCAGCTGGAAAATCAGAAGATGACGCCGGAGAAGAATTGAAAACGTTGTAGGAGGTGGAAGAATGAGATACAATTGCGAAAGGAATAGAAGAGGAGGACTGTAGCCTTTGACGCTTTGTACGTTTTCCTTTAACGATATTGTTGGTGGGATCTAATATTGAAGCACCATTGTCAACACCTCCGGCGGTGGTGGGTTGTTGTGCAAGGGCAGGAACAGCAGGATCCATGGGTGGTTGGCTAGCTTGAATACTACTCCAGCCCCACACCCAGAAAAGAGGAAGAATTGGTAATTAAGAGAAAATATGGGGTTGGAGGAAGCTAGAAAATGAGTAAGAGGTGGTGGTGAATGTTTATATAGGTGGGTGGAGTCAGGAGTGGAGGAGGGAGATAAGGGCGGAGAGCGGGTGGCGGGTTTAGGAGTTTTAAGAATAATAATGCGAGGGAGGAGGATATATAGCAAGTGTGAATTAGTCCACCAATATTCTTTCTTTTTTCTCTTTACATGGATGGATCATGGATTGGTTGATATTGGGGAGAGAAAGTGATGGTAAAGAGTGGAAGCAATACAAGGGGTAGAAAAGTCATTTAGAAGGGTTGACATCACTAACAATCCAATTTTTTGTTAGAACCACAAAAACTAATATGGATCGAAACGTTTGATAAGGATATGGGTGTTAGATTTTTAATTGTAACTTTGTAATTAATTACCTATGTTTCATGTAAATAAGTGGTTGGTCGGTCACCATAAAAGGCTTTGTGTATTGCATTCACTATATATAACTTTATACCACATATATCCTCAATATAAGGAAATACAATTTATACAAAAACACATACATACGGCAATGGCATACATGCCTTTCAAACTTTCAACATTTCACACCATATCAACGCCACGTCACTTCCTTCCACAATATTTCATACCATTTCTTCTCCAAGGAAATACCCACATTTTAAGAAATAGATGAAAGGGAAGGTAAGATGGGAGAGAGAGAGTGTGTGTATGTGTGTGTGAAAGAGAAGTTAAGATGGGAGAGTGTGTGTGTGTGTGTAAATGTGAAGGAGAAAGCTCCATTGTCGGACCTCTGGCTTCTCGAGCCCCTAATGTGGAGTCATGGTGTAGTCGTGTCAGACCCAAGGCCACTTTAGCACACCGTGCATACTTGGTGAAGGTACGTCGTGCATACTCAAAAGTCATCAAAACGTATATTTGGGAGACATTTAATTAGTGAAAATATTTACTCCATCTTCGTTTGTATTTTCCTTTTCAACAAACATCTTTTATGAAATTTTCGGCAATATATGTTGTATTCTAGTGGTTAAGTGGTTTTACTCCATATACATACAAGATTAATTGAAGCGTGTGAGTACTTAACAAGCTCGTACGAGTGCTAATTAATAATTATGTAACCGATTGGGTGAAAAGTAGACTCACGAATTGCTCGCGAAACCATATCGAGCTTAAAACCTGAGAACCATATGTATATAATTTGAAGGATTAATGCTTGTTTTTAAGTAAATGAAATTTCAGTGGTTATTTTGAAACATTTGTCGATCATTTATGGTTATTTTAAAAATTAACTCTTCTTTCTTTTACATGTGTTCAATAGCCCAATCACCATCACTTTCGGTTAAAGCAACATTAATGTGTTTTAATGATAGTAAGCGATGTCAAATAATATGAAACAATTTTGTCATCGACGGGTCCATTTAACGACCGTCAAATGATGGCTATGACTTATACTTAACTACTTGAAAATAATATAAAGATTTTGAGTTAAAATCCTTCACCTTTATAGGTAGGGAGCAAAAAAACAAAAAAAAAAATCACCCTTTTAATTTGAGTTTTTTATATTAATCGTTATGAATTTAAAACTCGGTGTTGAAGGAGTGGGGAGAAGGTGATGGAGGGAACCCCATCTTAAAGTGATTCTTTGCTTGGCCTAAAACTTACATACACGCCCCATTTGGTGCTTTTTGGTCCTTTTACGTGCCTCACACAACCAACCATTACCTCAATTATTCATTTGACATACAGACTTATTAGCATACTCACTTGTGCTTGTTGGATGCATGTAGAATGATAATACGAGCTCTTGAATGATCCATTCGAACCAAAGATTATCACTCCAGAAGTGGCCTTTTATGATCACGATTAATTTATCGTAGAAAATGATTTTGATAAACATACAAAAGAAATATAAAATAGATGAACTTGAACTACATTATCATAATACTAAACATGTTTAGTAAAAATATGTATTTTATATAAATTGCATTTGAATAGTACATTGAATTAAAAAAATATATCAGTTTACTGTTTAAACAGATGTAGTTAAAACCATAGATATGATTACAACGGTGGAAAATGACATTCATTTATTAAATATTTGTGGATTTAAACGTCCGTAGAACCTTAATATTTCAACAAAATGAATTACAATTACAGAAAAAAAAATATTTATGTACTTTATAACCATGGCAAGTGTGTGGATTTTAAAGTTCATGTGAATCCCTAAATATATAGTTTACTTTTATTTATATAAGCAAATTGCTATTGCTATAAAATTAATTAAAACAAAAAATGTTGTTGACCAATCTGTGATTAATTCGTCACTAATCAATTGTTATTACTAATGTACGTAAAACGACACAGGCCATGTGCGATGTTTTATATCCGGATAATATTATAGAGTCTTTAAATTTGAAAGAAAATTTTACAAAAAAAATGCGTAAGAGCATGTATAATAGGGATGAGATCGCTACTGGAACCGGACTGAATCGATTCGGAATCGAAAAAATCGAAACCGGAAAACAGAAATTCAAGGAACCGAGAAATGAACCGATTTACATATTTGGTTCCGATTCGGTTCTATGTTTGATATTCTTTTTCATTGGGATGATACCGGTTTTGAAACTGGACCGACCGACCCAAAACTGGAAAAACCGAAATAAAAAAATAAAAATTCAAGAAACTGAGAATGTTGGACCTCATTTTGAGGTTCATAACACCATCTTTGTCATACGGTGTAATTAGAGCTGTAAACGAACCGAACGAACTCGAACGCGAGTTGTTTATATTCGTTCGTTTAAGGTAGCTGAACAAATGAACAAACACAAACGAATAAATGAACGAATTTTCTTGTTCATGTTCGTTCGTTTAACAAATTACATTGTTCAAGTTCGTTCATTTATGTTCGTAAACATGCTAAACGAACATAAACGGATAAACATAAACAAACGAAGATAAACAAACATAATTCAAATATACAAAAACATAAACAAACATATAATATAGTAATGTAATCAAACATAATTGAACATATATGAACATAAAAGGAACTTCAACGAACGTTCACGAACATATTTGAACGAACAAGATCATCGTTCATGTTCGTTAATTTAACTAAACGAACGAGAATTTGTGTTCATGTTCGTTCATTAAATGAACTAAATAAACGACATAAACGAATTTCCGCCGAACAGTTCACGAACGTTCGTTGAAAGTTCAGTTCGTTTACATGCTAGTGTAATGCCACATTAGTCACATATAAACCTTTACTTTTTATAAACTTATTCCCATTATCCGTAAACATTTTTCAAAGGTTATCAATGGGTCTCAAATACTTATTTATGTTTTAGTCTATACTTACATAGGTTTCCAGTCAATATTTCTTGTAGTTTACAAATGTATAAAACAGTTAGTTAGCGACAACTTTCCGTGGATAAAGAATCCGTGCAGATCCATTGTTAATCATCAAAACCATGCATTCGTCCCTAATCTTTGACAAATTTGCGCCTATTTGGTTGGTTTTGAAGTGCTTGGCCGGTAAACATTTTGTTAGCGACTGATTCTTTTGTCACTGAATTTGAAAAAACCTGTCACTGCCAAGCCTTGTTTATCAATTATGAGTACTATAAATAGTTAAATAAATTTATCTGTGTTATAATCAATTTACTATAACCCTCTAGGCTCTAACGCCTTAATTTGTTTACAAAACTGCATATTTTTTCATCTTTTAATGTTAATAACTCTAAACCTATGGCTTCATCATCAGTTTCAACAATTTTATCAACCTACTTCGTTGATTAAAAGCGACTCATAAAGCATTGCAAGCTAGATCGGGAACCAAATTAATCTCGATTCATCTTTTAATGAGGCCGGGTGAGATGGCATTTTCTTCTTTGACATTTTCTTGCTCGACACCTTTGTTACTGTGTAAAATAGCTATCATGTTTTTCTTGCAACAAAAAATAATTTATATCATTTCAAAACAAATGCAACAACTGTCCCAATATAAGTGAATTAGTCCTTCTAACATATTTAAATAATTCATCAACTATTTATATTAACATATAATATTTTGAGACTTAGTAATTCTTGAAAATTTTGAGGTAATAATGGTTATTTAAAGTTTGAAAAAGAATTTACATTATTGAGAAAACACATTTAGTGAAGTAGAAGCAAATGATTGGGTGCGTTCGAGGTTGTACTCTAGGCTTCAGAAGTTATAAAATGCTTATATGATGTGGTCGTGAAATGGTTTATTATATATGCAAGTGTTTATTTATTTAGATAGCATAGATTTCAATAAAGACTTTTACGTTATTTTTAAAATAATGAAAAAAAAAGATTACCGAATAACTTATTATTAATTTGAATAACTAATGATAATGATGGTTGTTTCCTCCTCTTTCAGTGACAGTTTCCATGTTGCACTCAAGGATACACTTTATAAAGATAACACTCTACCCTTACAATAATTTTAATTATCTTAACTGTTTAAATATTATAAAATATTATTGTATTCAACTGTATTTTATTTTTTTAGTATTATACACTAATTAACAGATGCTTATGTAAAGCATGTTAAATGAAAGTATAGAAAAAAAAAACTTCCAAAATCAATTTATAAATTAACTTCATCAATCCTTCATTCGTGCCATTCAATTCACAATTTTACTTCACATTTCATTCTGTGTAAATTGTTAAGACTTCACTTATTGATAAACCATATTCTTAGATTATGTTAAATAAATATAGAATAAAAATTGTTAAAAAAGAATTAAAGAAACGGATATTCCGTGTAAACAGGCTAGCAATGTCATGGGATTAGGGAGTGGTGGTGAAGTAATGGCTTGCCTTGCTTTTCTTCCAACCCCCTAGAATCTCTCCTTCACTCGCTATTGTGTCTTCCTGTGTGTGCCTTACTCTGTCAAAACATAT